AATTCAGCTTTTTGATCACAGAAATAAATTACATTTTAAAATATATTCCAATCGAAAGCAGTTATTTTAAATAGTAAAAATATTTCACAATATTGCTCTTGCTGTACTTTGGATCAAATAAATGCAGGCTTGGTGAGCAGAAGAGACTTCTTTAAAAACATAGAAAATCTTACTTTTGACTGGTAGTGTATATTTGTATGAAACATAGGTTTGTTAAATCTAGGGTATTTAAGTCATTTTAATATAAATAACATTTTGTGATAACAACACATTTAAATGGGGTGGTTGTTTTCAACAAGGTGGACAAAGTTCTGTTCATAACAGTAGACCTGCTGGTGAAGAAGCGACAGGTAAGAAAAAAAAGGGAGAGACAGAGATATTGGGGAAAATGAAGAAAAGGGAAAGGGAAGTGAAGGTGCAGTGCAAGGCCTACAAATTAGTACCTTAAGGGTACGAATTACTACTTTAAGGTACTAATATGTTCCTATTAGTGGTAAAAAAGGTACAAAGATGTCCTTTTAAGAGTACTGCTACAGTGTCAAGCTGTTGTACCCCAAAAGGTACAATTTTGGCCCCTTTTTTTCTGTGTGGCCTGGATGAGTGTGAGATTTCCCGGCCTGAAATTGCGTCCCAGTCCGGCCCTGAGGTGGACAGCTGGAACAGCAGGTATTTATAGGCTGCTGCCCCTTTAAGACTGAATGCACTGATCCAATATAATGATGCATATGAGATTTTTTTCTCCACTGTTTACATTCAGTTAAAACATAACCGACTGTGTTTACGAGAATACCTGCAGAGATAGTTATTTTGTGATAATTTTGTGTGTATGTGTCCATTCAGACGCAAGGATACGTGAAAGAGGAATCAATTCTGTGTTCGCACGCTGTCTAAAATGCGGAAAACAGTTCGCGAGGAATGAATTGAATTCTCTTTAGCTTCTTCAAGTGCTTGAACGGTTTCAAACGCTTGAATGTTTAAATCGGCAAGACTTAGGGTTTGTTCACACTCATAGTTCGGTTCTCTTGGTTCGTTTGGTCCGGACCAAAAAAGAAAACGATAAATTTGGTCCTTGTCCGCTGAGCGTTCACGCTGGCATTTTTGACAGCGAACCTAAAGATACCGAAACCTAAATACATTCACAACCTGATTGGTCGGGTTGAATGACGTATATTTCGCAATGGAACTCACCGAACATGAGAGGGTCTGTATTACTTACTATTGGAGAAAGCGTAATGGTCAACTTTGATCATGTGTGCCTTAATAACCAATCACATTACAGCCTTGACGTCACTGAATTTCAGTCAGAGTTGTGCGACACTCAATCACCGTTTATGGATACCATAGGAATGAATGAGAAGTGCCGTAAGCTGAATCCCACCTGTCGCAAAAAGTCAGTGACTTCTCTTAAAAAACAGCATTTTTTCGGTGTAAACGCTAAAAATAATTAAATCCAAAAGTATTGCTTAGTGTAAAACATGTTGAAGATTAGCCGATAGGCTGTCGATTCATTAAATGATGAGCTGTTTCCTAGTGAAGCCTCTCCTCCATTGATATCCATTTAAAAAAACGGCCTCTGGTATCCTTTCCCCACATACTGGCAAACCGTAAGCGTTAGCATTAGCCGTTATGCTTTTTTGGCTAAAGGTTGCAGGCTTGCCTTCTAGGGGCTTTTACCCTAAACAAAAGCTGTGTTCGACTTAAAGCGGTGCTGCACAGACCAAACAGTATAACATCAAAGTACCCATTCACCGATCGGTCTGATCAGCGCCTCTTTAAGTTGAATTCATCTAATGCCGTCTGCTGGACTAAGCGCGCTCATTGCTGCGTGTACTTATGATTTTATTTTCACCACGCTCCACGTTTGCCCTCTGCTCATTTTGTTTTGGTTATTCCGCGTCATCAAATCATGTCGCATAGCGTCGCATCTTGTCATTACTTCCTGTTTTTGGTTCATTTAGAAGTATTTGATTCGTAGCGTTTATATTTCATTTGAACTGCACCAAAGTTCATTTGGAAGTGGACTGAGGCCCATCTTTTTAGCGGTCTCGGTCCGCTTGTTTGGTGCGCACCAGGGTTCGAATGGCAGCGTTCACACAAACCGCACTAACACAGCAATCGCACCAGGGCTCGTTTTAATCAAACCAAACATGACAAGTGTGAACACACCCTTAGGGTGTATTCACACCAGGAAAGTCCGCTAGTTCACTTGCTTTGGTCCGGACCAAATACAATGTAGATTTTTTTGTTTGGTGTGGTTTGATTTCACACTGCCCTTTTTGCAAGTGAACCAGAAATTGTAAACAAAACCACACGTGTGCTAAAGGTCATCCATTCATTGGACAGAAATTCTCAAGCGTACCAGAGTTCGTTTGGAACCGGACCAAGACCACCTCTTCAGCTGGGTCTCAGTGCGGTTGTTTGGTCCACACCCGAGTGCGATTGCTGTATTCACACCTGCCCAAAAGATCCGCACCAAGGGGGGAAACAAACTTGATTTCGATTCAATCGAACCAAATAAGACAGGTGTGAATACACCCTTAGAAACGTGTGCAAATGATCAACTATGATCCGTTTGAACAACACGAATCAAGGAAGGAATTTAATATCACTATTCATGATAGCCCGTCGGGCAGGGCGGTGATAAATTTTGGTAGCCCGACTGGAAAACACAATAGCTCCAGGACGTCTGGCTAGTGATTTTGCGAGCCCTGCAATCACCTGTAGGTTGGTTGAATCTGTGTGCCACTATGACCGAATTTTAACCTAAATCAATGCAGTCTGCTCATGAACATCCCTGCCTCTTACACGTCTGGGCAATTTTTTAACTGACCCTGTGCCCCTAGCGTCTCTTCTGTCTAGTGCTTTTTTTCTCTAATTTGCCTCGTTGGAGACTCATGGGATGGATGGCAAGCGCTACAGTCCTCTAAAACTACACCTTTAAATCACCAAATGGGCTCCACCTTGTCTTAAAGGGACCAATGAATGCAGATTCATCATTTGCTAAATGAAGTAAGGCAACATTTATAATCCTTTGCCATGTTTTGGCAATCAAACAGCATGATGAAATGTAGCTAGCTAAGCTACATACTAGAAATATTAGCTAAGGTAAGCTGAAAGCTACCCTTTAGAGAAAGTACAGTAGATGTACCGCCCAAATGATTCAGATGAGTGAGTCACTCTTTCTTGATTCAAGCACTGTTGTGTTTAATCCAAATACAAAATTTACTGAAATTTAAAGAAAAATTTAATGGTTTTGCTTTCTTGACTCAACCGATTCATTTAAAAGAACCGATTAAAAAGAGTTATTCATTTCTGATTTGCGCATAAATTGTTCTGATTCTAAACAGTCGATGGATAATACTGTAAATCTTTATTGTTGGAAAATTGTTTTTCTTGACCAATTCAACCGATTCATTGACAAGAACTTAGTCATTAGTTCCTGATTCAAGCAAACTTATAGTCATTAGTTCCTGTTTTTTTCTGATTCTAAATAGCCGACAGAATACTGTACACACATCTTTATTACTGAAATATTGTCATGTTTTTCTTCACCGAATCGACTGATTCATTGGAATGAATTAAAAGAGTCATTTATTCCTGATTCATGCATGTTTTGTTCTGATTCTAAATAGCCGACAGAATACTGTAAACACATCTTTATTGCTGAATTGTCATGGTTTTCTTCACCAAATCGACTGATTCATTGTAAAGAACCCATTCAAAAGAGTCATTCATTCCCAAATTGAACATTGTTTGCTCTTATTTTAAACAGCCGGTGGATAATACTGTAAACATATCTTTATTGCAGACATATTGTCAAGAAAAATGTAACATTTCTCTCTCCTGATTTGACTGATTCATTAAAAATAACTGATTCAAAAGAGTCATTAATTCCCAATTCATAAACAGCCAAGAGAGAATGTAAACATCTTTATAGCTGAAATCGTCTCAGGTTACTTATGTAACTATGGTTCCCTGAGTAGGGAACGAGACACTGCGTCCTCTAGGGGTCGCTATGGGGAACGCCTCGTCGTGACCCGTGTCTGAAGCATACATTGAAAAAACACCAACTCGTTGTGCTCCCAGCGCCTATTTATACTATAGTCGCACCGGTAGTGACGTCATGGCTGTCGCCGGCCAACGAGTTGGTGTTTTTTCAATGTATGCTTCAGACACGGGTCACGACGAGGTGTTCCCCATAGCGACCCCTAGAGGATGCAGTTCGAAGTTCCCATGAAAGGGAAATTATGTTTTTCTTCACAGATTTGACTGATTCATTGAAAAAGAAAAAACTGGTTCAGAAGAGTCATTTAATACTAATTCGGTCATTAGTTATGTTATAAACAGCAATGGAGAACACTGTAAACATATTTTATTGCTGAAATACTAACTTAACTAAATTAAATTTCTCCAACAACATTTCTCCTTTTAGAGATGCTAGTGCCCCTCACTGCATTTAGATGGTGGATGAGCTCATGCTAGCAGAGATAATGTTGCCTTTTCCAGCAGGGCTCCCTCTGTTCTACCTGTTCTTCTGACATTCCTGGCGTGACTGACTGTACAAACAGGCTGATACCAAAGGGAATGTGTTGTCAGAAAGCATTAATGTGACCTCTAACCTGAGAGGCCGACGCTGCTGTGCACCAGACTACAGCTCTGGTTTGAAGCATCCACACCCATCTCACTCTCTGCTCTCCTGCTCTCTGGGCGATGACTCTATCCGTTTATTTGACTTTCCCCTGCAGTTATTTGTGCCGCGTCAGTGCCCTGGCAGCTGGTGTGCAACGTGCCACCTTCACCTCTTATTAGGCACATATTTCACATCTCTTCTTCTCTCACTTGTTCAGGCCCGCTCTCTGTGCAGGATTTTGGGTTTCAGCCCCATTCTTTTAGAAAGCCATTGGAGGCAATTCCCATAAAGGCACATATATCTTTCATTTTTTATTGGCAAAGATTTTTGTAAGAACACTGATCATCATTTTTGATAAGGATATTGTAATTAATATTTCTTTTGACACAAGACTTTTCTTTTTATAGGTGTTAAATAAGTTAAATGTTTCAAAGTTTTCTATATATACAGTACATACCACACAGTGTGTATTGAAAAAAGAATCACATTTTGTTGCTTTGCAGCCTGAAATGAAGATGGACACAGTTTTTGTTTTATCCAGCTGTATTTACTCAGTACAACTTATAACATCCAAGTGAACGATATAACACCAAGATGTCAGAAAAAATTACATAATTTAAAAAAAAACAGAATCACAGAGTTGGAAAAAGGATCACCCCCTTGTTCAGTATTTTGTTGAACCACCTTTTGCTTTAATTACAGAAAGACACACAGTTTTTGTTTTATCCAGCTGTATTTACTCAGTACAATTTATAACATCCAAGTGAACGATATAACACCAAGATGTCAGAAAAAATTACATAATTTAAAAAAAAACAGAATCACAGAGTTGGAAAAAGGATCACCCCCTTGTTCAGTATTTTGTTGAACCACCTTTTGCTTTAATTACAACCTTCAGTCTGTTGGGATATGTCTCTGTCTCTACTAACTTTGCACATCTAGACTTTTCAATATTTGCCCACTCTTCTTTGCAGAACTGCTCAAGTTCAGGTCAATTTGATGGTGAGCGTTAGTGGACTGCAGTCTTCAAGTCATTGCACAGATTTTCAGTGGGGTTTTCAATTTTGAGTCTGGGCTCTGACTAGGCCATGCAAGGACATTCACCTTTTTCTCCTTCAACCACTGTGTGCTCAGTTTTGCTGTGCTGTGGGTCATTGTCATGTTGGAAGGTAAATCATCTTCTCATTGACAACTTTCTGGCAAGAGGGCAGCAGATTTTCCTCAAGAATTTGACGGTATTTTGCCCCATCCATTTTCCTTCTATCCTGACAAGTGCTCCAGTCCCTGCTGCAGAGAAACACACCCACAACAGGACATTACCACCTCCATGCTCTACAGTAGGAATGCTGTTATTTGGATGGTGAGCTGTATTGGATTTCTGCCAGACATATTGTTTGGTGTTGAGGCCAAATAATTCAATTTTAGTCTCATCTGCCTCAGAATCTTCAAGGAGTTTTTTGGCAAAGCTCAGTCGTGACTGCATGTGGCCTTTCTTGAGGAGTGGCTTTTTTCTTGCAACCCTCCCATACAAGCCACATTTGTGCCGAGTTTGTGATATTGTTGTCATTAGTGATGTCCGATTCTTGAACGAATCAATCTATTGAGCCGGTTCTCAGGAAGTAACCGGTCGAGCCAGTTCACAAAATCGAACTGAATCGAACTTTAGTTCCGGGTTGATGACACAGGACGCACAGCCGAAGTAGCACGTCCGACTCTAAAAGAACAAAATGAGCCGGTTCAACCAACTGTCGAAGTTTGCCGAGGATTCTGCCGAGTGAGTTGCTGACACTGCATGTGTATCACCGAGGACTTGAACGAGCCTGATGTGTAAAGCTTCTTTATAACAAACAAAACATAGGCTACTGGAGATATGCTAATGAATCATTTCATTAAAAAGCCCTAGATTTTTATTAAAACATGGAAAAACTTGAATTTTAGCATGGTTTATTGTGCATGCAGATCATATTTTAAGTTGTTTAAGTCTGTAGTCTGGAGCAGTCTTTCTACTGGGGCAGTCGTGGCCTAATGGATGGAGAGTCAGACTTGTAACCTGAAGGTCACGTGTTCGAGTCTCAGGTCTGGCAGGGATTGTAGGTGGGGGGAGTGAATATCCAGTGCTCTCTCCAACCTCAATTCCACGACTGAGGTGAGACCCTTTAGCAAGGCACTGAACCCCCAACTGCTCCCTGGCTGCCCACTGCTCCGGGTGTGTGTTCACTGCTGAGTAGCAGGCTACTCACTGCCGTGTGTGTGCACTTGGATGAGTTAAATGCAGAGCACAAATTCCAAGTATGGGATGCCTCACGTCCTTTCCTTTTTTCCTTTCCTATAGACATGTAGAACATATCCGCGTTTGTGCATCTGTAATGTGTGCTGTTGTTGCAAAACTTTTAGGATTCTTATCTAAGTTGAAGTCTTGTTAATACTGGTCAATCGCATCTGACATAAAGGGCCCACGAATGAAACTGTGACCACAAATACCACTAACGTAAGTGAATGAAAGGCAGTAATCAGCTATATGCATTCACACAAATAACTTTTTAT